GATTCGGGCAGAGTTCCGCTTGACTAAATACGGTATATGACTTCAAGATGTGAATGAAGCTCTACATAAAGAAGCCTTCTCTCTGTTTACTTTGACTTTGTTTTTTGCCTTGGGAACAACAAGGGGGCCCCCCAACCCAACCCCAAAACCAAACCCAAAACAAAGGAACCCCCCCGCCCAACCCCAACCCCAAAAACAACCGGCAACCCAACCAAGGGAAAGGGGGAACAAGCAAGAAGAAACAGGCCCCTTACAGCTCAGAGAACCCTCTTCCGGTCCAGAGTGATGTGTTGAGTTAGGAGTAAGGTTAGGAGTAACCGTTTTGAGCTGAATGATTGTGGTGAGGCTTTCTAAGAAGAAATTCTAAAAAAAAAAAGAAAAAAAATTATTTTCCTACAAAACAGAATTGTTTAAACTCTGACATACCAACAGAGGAAACTTTGCTTTGACTTGAAAGCGCTGGGGGGGCGGAGGGTGGAGTACAAGAATATAAAAACGTTTTCAAAAGAGAGCAGGCCTGTAGCCGAGAGATCCGAGGAGCTGTTTCCTGGAATAAGCAGATTGAAAAGGCATCATGTTCAACAGCACGACTGGGCCGTTTGTCCCAGACTAATCTAAAAACTGCATTAGAAATAATAAAAAAAACATGCATTCAAGGGAAATCCATCTTCATTAATCACCATGATAACCATAATTACTACAAAAGCCATGGTAACAAAAAACTTTTCTGTACAAACTCCATGATTGGAGCTACTCAAGCAGAGATGCGTCAGAGGGACTATGACACCATCATTAAGGTAATGTCAGCGCACAGGGGCACAGACAATGTGCCTCTAGGGACCACACATTCGGAATCTAATTATCTGTCTCCATTTCCCTTTCTACAGAATAAAGTAGTTTCTAAACCTGTGTGTCAATTTAAAATATAGGGGACAAAATGGACATTTTCTCCAGAGCAATCTAAACCAAACTCCTTTCTTTCAGTATCCCCTCAGGTTTCTTTCTTAAAACACATCTTCCCTGATATAAGAAAGATCTACAGATCTACCACTAAATAAAATTCTTCAAACAGTGCCTATCGGAGTCTCCTCAGCTTTGCACCTCTCCTTACAGCAACAAGCCTAGACACATCATTGCACACGTCTTTTAAAATCAATCAAGCAAAAAACAAAGCAGTTCTTACTTTGAAAAGCCTGCAAAAGATCTGATCTTACAGCTTGTAGCAGTAAATTTGTAGAGTGGAACATGTTTCACCTTCAGTACTCCCACTGGGGCGATGTAATTGAAAATCTAAGCTCTTTGGAAGAATTGGAGGAATTTTAAAATTTTGCAGAAATCAGAGCCAGCACTTCTATTTATAACCCATTTCACTTGCTGATAAAGTAAATAGTGTATGTTTTTTATAATGCAATCATCTTGACATCTCCCCTCCATCTGAGAGAAAACACACTCCTCCAATTTGTCACAGAGCTCTGGGCAATTTCTGCACTATACTTTCAATCAGCAGGAAGGCTACGCCTGAGAATTCGCACCTGCCTTGCCTCACAGCAGCACAGCTCCTGCATGCTCCACTCTTCAGTGCACTCTAAAACACTTTTCCACTCATATCACAGAATTATGAGCCAGGAAACAATATGCAGAAGACGTACTGTGCCACAGATTTATGCTCGATGCATTTTTTCTTAATTCTTGCAGCACAAAAGTTCACTGTTCCTTTAGCATTTAGAAAAGTAATATTTATAGTGCTGCAGTCAGTGTTTTAAGTAACTTTATAAAAACATACTTTATGGGAGATGTGTCTTCATAATACAGAACCACGCTTGGAAGAAAATCGCATTTTAAAGGTTAAGTGTGCTAAACACTTTTTAAATATTTACATAGCTGTTCTATACAGAGTGACGAAGCTTCTGTATTGCAATTTAGAAAATGGATCTGGCATTAAAAGTTAAATGTGCAGTTATCTGAAATTTAATGCAGCGTTACATTACATAATTAGACCTAAAGCCGTACTCAGTGAGGTCAATAATGCAACATGACACGCTGCTTCAAGATATGGCAAAAGAACGCACGTCTGGATGTTGCTGAATACACACACCCATTATATTAAGCCAGTGGCGCTACACCTGTGCTCCCGCTTCTCAGTGGTTCACTGTGGGTGGGTGTGCAGCAACAAACAGTAGCACGCAATTGGCCGTTCTCACTGCACTAGAAAACTGTGGCATAACAACTGGCTGCACCACAAAACACAGCTCACAACCCCAGCAGGTGTGCGGTTTGAAACCTTAAACAAGGAGGAATAAGAATAGCCAGGACTGTATAACCCCCGTACTCATGCACGCCATGTGCACAGAAGAATTGTGTGCCAAGCTCAAACTTTTTCCCCATTAGCAAAAAGGAAATAGTCACACTCTAGCTTTATTCATGCATCTATATGCATGCTCCTTACAGCCACAAAGGACTTGACCGTATCTCAAGACGAAGGGACCTGTACCACAGACTCTGGGAATTCTGAAACACAACAAGTAAACACTAAAAGGAAAGGTCTCAAACTGCATCAAAAGGCTGATTCACAGTCTTTGATGAGCAAATAAAATGGACAGATGAACAAGTCAACATGAGACACTACTACACACTCAATGGTGAACCTTGAACCTGGGATCACAACAACCGAAAAGAGACAATTAGGATCTCCAGCGGGTGGAACCCCTCTTTAAACAAAGAGTAGCTGGCAAGAAACATCTCAGTGAGCGGAGAAAGTCGAGCTGAAATACTTCAAGTAACAGGCTGCCATTCACATGGCCAGCAGCTGACCTTCGGTTCAGTCAAAACCTGTTCATGTTCCTGCAGAACCATTCAGATTGACTGGTTCTGCAGACACAGGGTGAGGTTTGAACATTCTATCACAATGAACGACAGAATCACACCTGTCGTTCAGCACCTGAGGACCTGTTCCCTGGGCCAACCCTGAGCACAGAGGAAGTATAATCCCTCCACTCCACAACACCAGGCATCTGACTGAGTCTCGAGCCAGGAGATTACAGCGCTCTTCCAGACTAATGACTCCCCCGCAGAGCCAGGGATTCATTTACGGAAGACATTAAAAGCATGCTAAAGGGGCAGGATTATCTTCTTTGCCTTGGCGGTGAACAAATGAAGGAAGGCAACTCTGAGGCAGATAGAGGGCCTGAAATGGTACAGACCGGAGCGCTAAGCCGCCCTCTCTCCTGTTTGCTTTGATAAGGAAGACAAATAACACCCAGCTGTGAAATATCAATTTATATAAAAGGTGAGAAGGCACTGAACTTCACCAGACAGCAATTTCCTCATGCAGCTCAGAAAAAATATTTCACAGAGGCTAAGTAGATCCAAAAGGATCCTCACTGGAGTACGCACAGGCCGGTCTGCTCCAGCCGCGGACCCCCAGGAGAGGAGGGCATTTAATCAGACGCGTCACTGCCATGCCCAGCACGCAGATGTGGGGCTACTTAAGAACACAGGAAAGGTTATACATGAGAAAGATGGTCATCTCATTCTCGTGCTAGCAGTTTAAAGTCCCGAGCATTCAGCCTATTCCTTTCCGTTAAGGAATCTAAGAGGCAGCTACAATCGCGTGTCCTGGAAGTTTGTTCCAGACACCCACTATCCACTGCCGGCTGCAGGACTTGAACCGGCACCCTTCCAGCCACAGGCGCTGATCCTGAGACACAGAGCCACCACTCGGCCTCGGGTTTCTTTTGTCTTGTCATATATCAAGACAAATGAAATGCCGTGGTGTTATGAAGGCAGCAGTGGACAGTTACTACATCCTATGTACCGACTGTCGACACTGCACTCACAAGTTTAGTTTAGGAACTGTTTTCTAAGTTAATAGTCAATTAACTTAAGAATCAATTCTTTTATGGAAAATCAACAAAGTAGGCTACAAAATATCAGCTGTACTTGGAAGAGTGGGTCAGACAGGCCAGACCAGTCAGAGAGACCTACTTACCAGTAATGCCAACAGAACTCACACAATCGCCATTATACTGGCAACACAGAAAATTAACATCCTCATTATCTTTCACTGGCAAAACCCCAAGGCACAGACAAGCCTTCAGCTCCCTGACGAGCAATCAGGGACCTAGAAACATTTTGTCAGACTAAGTGGAAAGAAAACTGCTTAATAGACAACCTTTCCTCAACATTTCCGAGGATGAGACATTTTCCCAGGACAGGTCTGAAGTGACACCCTTGCCTGTCACGCATTTCAAGAGCCACGCGTCGTTCCTGCTGAGTGGATTCAAGAGGCCACTGGCAAACAGACAGATGCCCCGAAGGACTGGGTCTGTAAACTGAGAGGATCTGATTTAATATGGGCCTATTTATATCCACAGCGCGTGTGTTATTAAAATAAGAATGTGGTATCATCTAGAAAGATTACATGCCAGAGATAACTATATTAAGGGTCCCAGGCAAAGGAACTAGACAGTGTGTGCTGTATATGAACACACAAGCAGCACAAAGCTTCCCTGCGCAGGTGCTTTCACCTCAAGCTTTCTAATAAAAGCTGACATTATACTGTCCCTGGAAAAAAGCTTCCATTTAAAATAAAAAAAAAAACAAGGCCTCTCAATAATCCAGTTACTGGAGCCTGGAGACAGCTGAGGCCGCCACTAATTCCTACGGGTACTGAATTCACACAGGCTGTTGGAGCAGCGAGAGACAACGAGATAAGTGCAACACTGGCACATCTTCAGGCATGTCTCAGGGTCGCCACGCAGACCCAGGGTACCCTCTGCCTACCCAAAAGAGATCAGGAAAAATAAACCCCAGCTCAGCAGCTGATCATGAATCTTTATTTTAGCTACATGCTATACAGTAAATCCTAAAATCCAATGTAAAACTGTGGGACATTTCCCCAGTAATGACAGCACGTGCACTCTGTGGTTTATTGGATCAGTGGACTGAAGTACAGCACCAGTGCCATAGGCCTGTCTGGGCTGGAGGACAGCGGTACTTACCTGGGCATATAGAGGACTCTCTCTGCCACGACGAAGCCCACCCTGAAGAACAGATTGCTCGCCGGAATGAACGGGAACACAAGAAAAAGGATCCCCACCAGCACTTCCCTGTTTTCCAGTTTCTGCCAAAAAGAGAAGAGAAAATCAAACCCTTTGGAAAGCCGACGGTGGACGCAGGCCACTCTGCCCATCAGCGCCCAGCATTCTCCTGCGCGGCGTGCGAGTCGGCTGGGCCTTCACCTCCCAACTCCCCCACCTGGAAACACCTTCCCTGCATTGCTCTCTAGATCGAGCCAATAACAGTGTTACAGAT